TTTGCTCTTTTTTTCCAGCAAGTGAATCCCCCCTTCCTTCCCCTCTGCGCCCCCCCCCCTACCCCCACCCCATCCAAACCCCCACTGAATCCAATCTTCTTTTTATTTGGAAGTGTTGTTCCCTCTCTCCCTTTCTCTACACACACACACACACTCATGCACACACACACACTACTTTATATACACAAAGCCCAGCGATAGGGAGAGGCAGAGGGAGACAGAGTGGGAGAGCAAGCATGAGGACGCCATTTAAGCAGTTTGTTACGAGCACTGCAAGTCCCCAAAATGGCTGAAAACAAACAGGAACCACGCCAACTTGAAAAACCTGGGCACAAGGACGGACAAACTCGCAGACAGGGAGCGAGAAGAGAGTGAGTCAGAGAGACGGCGAGGAAGGTAGACAGAGAGAGGACAAACTGGTGGTAGTTAAATGGCGGATGGGAACACTGTGGGAAACAAGTCAAGTTCACGGAAAAATGGAGGCCTTAAAGGAGAAATCCAGTGATTTAGCACTTTAGGGACAGATTTCAAAAAGAAGGCCTTGAAATCTGACTAAAAGTCTCTAGTATTGGTCAAGCTCCAATAATGCTGTATCCTACATTTTCCAAAATGCAACTTGATAGCATCTTTCTCAAGACTCCCAACCCATACCTGGCAAATGCTCAAGTCCTTTCAACTCCACTTCCATAGTTTCAAAGGCGTTCAGATCCAAAATACCAGGCGTGAAAACAACGCAACAAGCTTTGATGATGGTAGAACTCTGGAACGTTTTCACAGCGACAACAATCTAGCCAACCAAAAGCAGATTTAGGGTCAAATCCTGCCATTGGCCACAACTTTTACCCTGCATGCACTTTCCAGTCCACCATCTGTGTGTTGAGTTTGCATATTGTGCTTTGCGTCACCCATAATGATTGTGATTGCTTTCAAGAACTGCAAACAACCCAGAGTGTTTTGAGATCTGGCTATGACTTTAGCGACAAAAGTTCTACCTCCATTTTGACAATTGGCACATAAACAGTTGTCTGCCATATTGGCACACATTTAATAGCCCAACTCAATTCTGGTGCTAGAAGACGTTTCCTTTGGTTGTGGGAAAAGTAGAGCCAGGGGCCACTTGTACAAAGATTGAATGGCGAAACCATATCGCAAATGGTGGTGGCTTTATATTTCTAATTTGGTAAAATTATTCTGAGGATCAACTTTCTTGTCTGAGCCCTCTACAAATGTGCCATTGCTCTCTTTTCTATTTTCTCATACTTTATAACGCTCCCTCCGGACTATTATACAGCTGTTTTCACAATGTGAATAGTACTCCCGATGGCAAGTATACTGGTCCTCATATGTAAAATCAGTGTAGTGCCTCTTCAAAAGAAAAAAGGTGGTAAAGGTGGACAGACAAGAGCAGAAACTGGAGCAAGGACACGGTTTAGTTGTCCATGCCCTCTGCTAAAAGGGTTCAAGTGCTATCAGCAGCCATGTCAATTAACTGCTTTTATGTCGGCGGGTGTATCTGATTCTGACACTGGCGGAACTTAAACTGCCAGTGACAAGGACCTTTTTTGTTTTACACCACAAGCTCTCCTCAACAAAATGAAGCAAAGGCGCCACCATCACGTCCTCCAGCTGGATATTACTTCTGATTCCCCCGTATCCATGCCAAATGCCTCACAACAACAACAACCCTCTTCCTCCGTGTTTTCTCCCGGGCCATGCAAGTCACGGTCAGTGGAAATTCCACATATCTCTGCTCTCAATCCGGCGGCCATGAGCCACTCGGCAGCCCTAGATCAGGAGGTACTCTGTCAGCTGGGACAAGAGGGCATGAAAATGAGAGGAGGGGTGGAAGAATGTTCCAGCACTGCTATGCTTCAACCAATTATACTTCCCACTGTCCTTTTCAGTTGAGCTGCCACCCCACAGACCCCCCCCCCCCCCCACCAGTACCCACCAAGTGAACCTTGACGCCAACATCCCGCCCTCCTCCTACTCTTCCCCTGCCCTTTCCCTCTCTCCCTCTCTTTCATCACTCGCTCCAACCCTCATTGTACGCTGCCACACTTGTCTCCATGGGAACTGCTCTGGGATTGGGTGTTGTTCCTGTGACCTCTCTGGCTGTTGGAGTTGGGTGAACTTTTTTTCTCTGCTCCCCCCCCCCCCCCCCCCTTGTCCTCTCTCATGTACTCTTGCACGCTTTCAAGGCATGCTGGCTGTGTGTGGATGGGACAGCAGTTGTGAGTAGCTTCAAGATAGGACAGTGGAATTCAAGCTAGATGGAACAATTTGTGAAAAGTAAAAGAAAGAGAGGCTGTGTGTGTGAATCAGATTGCCCGTTGGAGAAGACAATAGTGTGTGTGTGTGTGTGTGTGTGTGTGTGTGTGTGTGTGTGTGTGTGTGTGTGTGTGTGTGTGTGTGTGTGTGTGTGTCTTCCAGGAGTGCAACCGCTCGGTCCACACATGTGTGCTGGCATTGTCCCGTGGCTGCAGCCGGCCGCAAAGTCCGTATTCAGAGGCTCCCCTGTTGTCCAGACGTCCCTATTCATGGGTGTTTGACCAAACGTGATCATAGCTTTTCATGCTGTGCTACCAAGCGACACACATCTGAACACACAAAGATGGAGGAACCAAGGAAGCCATCTTGGCAGAAAATGCAACCATTAGCTCACCATTATTGAATCTTAGCATGGAGGACGTAAGAGATACACTAGGAAAGAAAAGAATATCAGCAGTTTGATATTTGACCGTTAAGATGAATCCTTCATGAGGTGTTTGGCTCATTTTTACAGCACATTTATTTTGATTTTAGATTTTATTTACAAGACGTGGTCCAAATTGTTTTCTTTTTTTACAGGGGTCCTATGATGCTTTCTGGAGTTTTCCCTTTCCTGTAGTGTGTGATGTAGGTTTTTGTGCATGTAAATCAGGGGTGGGGAACCTCCGGCCCCCGGGCCGTATAACTTAACTGTGTTGTTATTAGCATCTGGTTAGCTAGCTATGCTAACGAATATAAGAAGCTTTTTCTCCAACCAGTGAGGTAAAGGCACATCTTTATATGATCATTATAGTTATAAAAAATAAGAGAATAAAGTAAACAGGTATAAAATACTATATGACAGTAAAAAAAAGTTGTTATTAATAAACAAGAATACAGTTTAAAGGAGAGTGATTTGTAAAATATCCATAAAGAAAAATAAATCTGCTTCCAGTTGTGTTTCATCTGGGTGTTGAGAGATGTATCCATCGATCTCCTCATGTTGCTCTCAAAGTGCACCAGATTGATGCTTTTAACTTCAACATTTAAAAAAAAATCTTCCCGGGGGAGCATGCCCTGGACCCCCCTAGAGGAGGTTAGGTCCCCCCCACTTAAATCATGTCCACATAGGAAACTAAATACATTTGCACACATCATGTGTCCATATCTTTCTGTTTTGGTGGTCATGCCACACCGTGCACGTGCATGCGCGAGGCATGGTAGGATATCTGGATTAAGACGTTGCTTTTTCTTTGCACAGCATGAAAGAAAGGCGAAATGAATGGGCTGTGATTTTAGTATTTTTAAGCAGAGGTCAATCATTTGTACGGCCCTCGGAGGATGTTGAAAAAATTGAAATGGCCCTTGAGAGGAAAAAGGTTCCCCACCCCTGATGTAAATGGTCTGCAAAAGCTAAAATCCCAAAGTTCCCTTTAGAGCAGGGGTCTCAAACTCAAGGCCCGGGGGCCAAATCCGGCCCGCGACTTCATTTGATGTGGCCCCGCAAGAGCTTGCAAAGAATATAATACGTTTATTATACGGTTACATGCCACTTTACAGAAGCAGGTTGCCCATAAACTACATGTCCCACAATGCATCTCATTTTGTGACATGCACAATGAAGAGACTTGCAATTACTTGCCCTGGACTTCTGCTTTCAGACGTAGTTAATTACTAAGTTATTATCCTATATGATAATAATCCAATTCAGAGGCAATAATGTAATATAATACATTATTTTATATATATATATATATATATATATATATTATATATTTATATAGTTACAACCGGCCCTTTGAGTGAAACCTTTATGCGAATGTGGCCCGCGATGAAATGTGTGTGTCGCAGATGTAAAAGGGGTAAAGAAAGACCCACTTTTGCTGACTGTGAAGGACAGTAAGAGAAGACAACGTAATATGACCGAGCATTTCACATTTAAAAAATGTTTTGCAAATGTTTTATGTTTGTAAAAAAAACAATAATTGTTTCAGTTGACAATAAAATGTGTATTTAGTACACATCCAACCATTTCAGAGCTTTGTCCACCTCCTAAGGGAAATATTTTTCTCTAAAAGCTCTGCAATATTCATAAGCAACTTGCTAACCGTCTGTCTGCTCCTTAATGCTGGTACAGTGGGGTTTTTTCATGTTCGAAACTGCTGTCTACTGGTTATAAATATTTCTGGATTCACTTCTTTAAACAACCCCTGTTACGCTACTTTTATCATGAACATATTAATTATAGCTAAAATGGCTAACATTTTAAATGTCACAACTTAGACTTCAATGACCCCACTTTGACCTACTAAATGTGCTCTGTGGCTTCTAGCAAAAACGCTGAGTGAATAATAGCTTTCTCTTTTCCTGATAAGGGAAAAGTTGATATCCATAGGTTGTGTCTTCCTGGTCGAATGTACTTATTGTAAGTCGCTTTGGATAAAAGCGTCAGCTAAATGCAATGTAATGTAATGTAATGTTGATGTCAGTGTAAGTGCAACTGAATCTTTGGTTGACTTGCATATGAAAAATCAAATCTTTAGCTTGGTTTTGTTTGAAATATTGTCAGTACAGAAAGATAGTTCAGAAGAATATAAGGGCAGCAAGATCAGTAAGAGTGCATGAGTCCATTGTCTGCAACATTTGTTATTCAGACTGAATTCCTACTGATACATGTGCGTGAATGTATCCTGAGGCATGCTCAGGGGTTTGTAAACATCCTCAATGATCTCAAAGTTGTGATGACTAACCTGCTCGCCAGCTGACTTGGACTGAGATCAAAGTGGGTAGTCAAACGATGCTCGAGGAGTTCAAATGTCAGTGGTTTTCTTAAAGAGGAAGCAGGGGTTTCATAAGGACAACGCTGCAATTCCTGTCTGCAGCCTTCACACAGAAATCTGAGAACAGACAGATGAAGTGAAAACACAACACATGCATTTTCTGAAAGTACGTGTTCAGATAAGCATGACATATGTACACATTTGTACTCTCACATGCAAACAGATGAATGGGTGTTTAAGCCCTCAGCATTGTCTTACAGACTTGGGGGCGGGACAGTTGGTAACTTGAGGAAACCTCTCTTGGAATAGGGAAATCTGAGCGTGTTGGAGCCTGTCCTGAGCGAACACCTCTCTGCTGATTACAACAAAATGTCAGGGCTGCATTCTAACAATATGGAATAGAAAACACACAAACCAAACAGCTTAAGGGGCAAAAACCCTTCAGTTCACATTTTGCGTGCATCCCTAATCTATATCTGTTAACCAATGTAAAATCCCTTTTATGTAAGCACTTGTCTATCAAAATGTTCTCTGTGTTAATAGAAACCACAGAATTCCATCTATTCCAGATGAGCCATGACGTGCATTATTAAGTAAGAATGCAGCCTTTAAAGGTCGAATTACTGTATTACTCCACTGTGTATCGTATTGTGCCAGATATATGTCAAACATGCAAAATGCATATTCATTTTTCTTAAGAAATCCAAGCTTATACCTCGCAGTAAAGCTTCCAAATACTTTCCGGACACATCAAGGGGTGTAGAAAAAGCAATCAAGTAAAATATTATATAAGAAATTTTGAGGAAACCGGGCTCGAACTAAAAAAAGAAGAATGGGATTAAAAGTTATAAAATATTAAGAGATCTACCCTGACGTCTTGTATTATTACGTACAATGTGTTGGAGTGCTTGCAAAAATAAGCACAGGTGTTACATAGTGATGTCACTATGTTTCAGAAGTAAACAAAGGAGTCCAATGGAGGCGTTTGAGGAAGGGGGGAGGGTGTGGGGAAGAAACTCCTTCTACAGGGAACTTTGAAGGTGCATTCACACCGCAGTACTTTTCCCACAAAGGTTCATGAGAACTCTTTAGTACAGATCGCGTTCACACCGGAATAAGTTCCTGGGGAAGGGTGAGGCAAATGAAGCCGCTGACGTCACTTCTTCTTCTTCTGCTTTGGGTTTACTGGCAGGCCGCAAACAACTTCACGGCGTATACTGCCACCCGAAGTCCCCGGCCGGATGTCCCCAGAGTTGGGGACTGGCTTCAGTAGAAGCTGCTGGGACTCCACCGCTCCAATGTTTTCTTTTGTGTTGCCATAAGTTAGTCTCTCTGCGTTTGTGCGCTGGGCTAATGCTAATTCTAATAATGCTAATGCGAGGATAATAAAATGGCGGCTTCACAAAACTTTTTGGGAGTTTTACGGGCCGTGGTTTGCAATCCGCCCAGCCAATCAGAAATAGGAACCTTTTTCTCCCACGAAAGTCCCTGTTCTCTAGCAAAGGGGGTAAAAAAGGTTCCGATTAACTAATTTTAGTTCCGGCCCATTTCGGAACTATATCGGAACTGACTGCTTTTCTGTTATCGGAACTGACTGCTTTTCTGTTGTGTTTTTTTTTTTTTTGTTTTTTTTTTTTTGTTTTTTTTTGTTTTGTTTGTATACCCCCCCTCCCAAATGTAAAGCGTCTTTGGGTCCAGAAAAGCGCTATATAAAATTAATATATTATTATTATTATTATTATTAACTAAAGTGGGAAAAGTACTGCGGTGTGAACGCGGCTTTTGAGGTTTTAGCCTTTGCAGACCATGTATATGCACAAACACCTTTATAACACAATACAGGAAAGGGAAAACCCCCCAAAGCATAAAAGGGCCTCTTTAATAAAATATTGTTTTGACCTAAAAAAAACAAGTTTATCATGTCAAGATCTAGAAGTCATTTTCCAGTGATCACATGAAAATGGAAGAGAGAAATCTTTGATGATGTACTCTGTGACCTTTTGTATAAAGCGCTGCAGCTTATCAACTTCCTTCTGGCTCTGAATGTTACAGCTGATGAAATGATCAGTTTCAGTTTGATGAAAAACTTCAAACAGCTGTGAATGCCTGAATCTTTTATGTTTTAGTAGAAGGGTTAGAGAGTGTAACACTGCCCCAGCCCTCGCCTGCGAGACAACACTAAGGGACTAAAACGCACAAATCCCACAGAGGCCATTCTGAGCAGATGTCCAAAACCTGCATGCTGCAAAGTTGATAGAATGTCTATATGCTGTTCAGGAAGAAAGCACCGACAGGATTCAAAGAGTTATGTTGACAAGTGATGTCAGACAGTGCTATAGCTGTAGACTTCTAATATAACTCAACGGGCGGCTCCATCAGAGTATCAAATGACAGAAGTAGGGGTTTCATCAAGCACTGGCTTCAGAAACATTGAGGTTCAGCGTGTTAGTGTGAGCGGTAAAACACTGCTGAGTCACACAAACTAGCCTTAGGCACACACAAGAGATAAAATGTTAAGAGAGTAAAGTGAGTTAGATGGGTGCAGGCCGCACAGGAGTTACAGTCGGCATGACATTTAGTTTGATACGCATAAACCGCTGGCAAAATATGGTTGTATAACAGGATAAATAATAAAGCAAAGAAGAAGAGGAGAGGGGTTTCGGGCATGGAGGTTGCCAAAGGAGACTGGAGAGGATAGGTGGAAAATCATCCGGGAGGGGTGGCTGATACGGTGTGGAGGAGGGAGGAAGGGAGGGGGACGGACGGCTGGTTTTTCCACTGCCAGAGAGAGGACGGCTAAATCAAATTAATTAGCTCCTTCATCTCCAGGCAGCTACTCAGGCATGCTGTACTGGCGAAAGAGAGTCGAGGGGAAAGAGGGGAGGGGCAGTTGGCATAAGAGAATGGGAGAAAGCGAGATAGGACATGGTGGCGGGGTGAAAAGCCTGCTGTGTATGTGCGCCATTCAGCAGGACGGGCACCGAGGGGAGGGGTGCATAATTCTCTGATAAGCGTGAGGGTTGTTTTGCTGGATTCTCTGTTCAGCCATGAGGAGGAGGAGGAAGTAGCTGCATGTCGGCTGATGCTGTGTGCTGCTGCGCTTCGGGGCGATGGTACTTCCTGTTTCTAGACGGCCTGTAATTTTGAGAGCACTGTAAACAACCCTGCTTTTCTGCGCGCCTCTTTAAATAGAAACTTCAATCAGAACCTCCCGGAAAGACGGGAAGCTGAGAAAGTCTCGCAAAGATAAAGAACAAGTTTTTGAGCAATGACAACATGAAGTAAACTTATCCTGTGATCAAAGATAAAGTAATAAATAACTCATATTTACTGACTTCAGAGGAAAAGCAGCAGAAAAGCAGTAACAAGAAGGGGAAAGAAAATTAGGCAGATGGTTGGAGGCAATGGCATCGAGCCAGGGGACAGAAAACAGCAGCAGAGCAAGGAAACCAAACACAAAAACAAGTGAGAAAAGAAGCAAAGCAAGCTGTATGGCAACTGCAGGCAGCATGTGGTCATCTCAGAGGCTTAGTGTGCAGGAGAGCGGGGTGAGGGAGGGAAGATGAGACGGTGGGAGTGGGAGTCAGAGAAAAATATGAAGAAGGTTTGTGCACAAGTGGGAGGTTCAGACAATAAAAGAGACACGTCTGCGAGGTAGGAAAAGGGATCATGTGACAGAGAAGAGGTAGGCCATGTTGATTCACAATTTTTAAGAAAAGGCTTCCCAATGAGTGAGAGGAGAATGTAAGGCAAAGGGCAGCATGACAGACAGGGCCAGGGGTCAAATCCTCGGGAGAAGAGCGCAGTGGACAGCTCAGTGCTGCAGCACTGCCTGGGCGAGACTTGGCGGCACTGTGAGAAACCCAGATTAGCACTAAGCCGATTGCAACGCGAGGTAGGATCAAGAGCAATTAATTTAGCACCCAGATAGTTCCAGGAAGAAGCTGAAAGAACCCTAACAAAACTCATAGCTGACTTAACATTCCTACTTGAGTCTCTTCTCTACAAACAGAGGAAGAATCCTGCGTTAAAAGGAGAATTTGGAAGGTCTGAAAGGGTGGAGGATAAAAGGAAGGATAAAAGGAAAGATGAAGACGCTTGGCTGGGGCTGACATCAGCCAAAACAAGCATCTAAAGAACAGGACATTCTCTTGCAGACAGAAATGGGCCGGCCTGTTCCAATGGGCTCGGAGAGAGCATGCCTCCAACCCTGCGTCACATGCTTTTATTACAAAATAACATCCTGGTGCATGACTTAAAGGGAAATGTGGATGAACACAGATCATTTATCATTCATATCTCTCCTATTTTGCTTAAGATACACACATTTCATAGCAGTTTTTGGTGCTAAATATTAGGCTGATACTGTAGGGTTTGTTATTATTACAGCAATATCTTCCCAGAATCTAATACACACTTGAGACTTTTCCCCACAAAATTGCCATGGTATGCATGTCCAAAGAAAATCCTCACAGCCTTCAGGAAATGTGGCTTTGGTTTTTGGAGGTCATTCATGCTTACAAACAGTAACTGAATTGTTGCAGAAAATGCAAGTATATACTTTTTTGTGCTTCGGATTTGATGGCCCGCTAGCTCTGTTTATGTTTATTTCTGGAGAAGCCGGAGTGCCGTTATAGTTTAGCTCATTAATTGTAAATTGGCGAGAAAAAAAAGTAGTCGGCTCCTCCCACCATGCTTAGCATCTGCCTGGCTGTCTCTCCCTCCCTACTTGTACGCCTATTGTGCTACAGAGCTCCCCCTTCCCCTACTCTCCACCAACCGCTGAAAACACTCACTGTCAGGCTGACACCAACAGACAAGAGCACCCCCTAGACCCATGAATCCTCATCCACTTCATGAATGAATGCCACTGGGAGGAATATACATGCTGCAACAGGCACATATATTTCATGTTAACTGCCAAATAAATACATAATACCTCAATATACCTAATGTCTAAATATGTCTGCTGGAGAGCCACACAGAACCAAAAAAGTCCATCAAGTGAAATCCATAACCAACAACTGCTCTTTAGCAAGGCCTCATGTCATTGAGGTAAGCTTCATCATCCTTGTTAAGACGGTTTATAGCAGATTAAATACCGCAAATTAGAAATAAAATGTATGACTTATTCCATAACTAATTAAAAATATCAGAATATCAACAGTGTGGTTCTGAAAACAACAACAATGCCACATATCTTTAATGTGTGATATTGTTCAACCTTATTTATAAAAATACCTTTGCGTGGATTCTTTTTTTTAATTCTTAACCCATTCCCTGCGAACATCTAATAATTGTAAACCAACATGTTTTAACTGCAGCGGTGGAAGAGTCAAACAATTAATACAATAGAATTAAAGAACTCAGAAGTCATAAGTTAAAGTATTGCATTAAAATGTTGCTCTGGTAAAATTACAGAAGTATTAACAGCAAAATATACTTAGTATCAGAGTAGACAGTTTTTTTTTTAAATAAATGTTCTTATAACAAACAGCTCCTTTTTCCATTTTACAGCAAAAGCTTGTTGAAGGTTAGAAAAAAATATATCATGCATGTATCAAATGTGCAAGAATGTTTGGCTTACAAGTCCAAATGGATCTCGGTTGTCATTATGTTCACAAGCAGTAGCCACATGTATTTGTAATATTTTGCATAAATGGTGTAGATTGTACATGTATTCAAAACGTGTGGATGAATTCCTGCCCACAGTATCTATGTACTAACCTCCTTGCAGCAGTAGAGGGAGCTCCTTTGACAGCCCGCCGAAAACCACTGAAAACGTGGTTGTGCAATGTCTTTGTAACGCTGACAATTCTCAATATGAGCCAGAGGAGGGAGCCCGCTGGTCAATAATGAATCCTTTGTATAGTCATGGTATAGCATGGCACATGGTGAACAAAGTGATTCACTGTCACATTCTTCTACATGTCAAACCTAGCATACAAATGTGTTATATTAATTTGAATTACTCAAAACAGAACATGGTTTGACTCCATAAGGATACTGCAGATGTGGATCTGTTCTTGCTTCTTGGCTAGCATCTTGTTTCCTTCCTGTGCTGAACCTACCAAAAAAGAGATGAGGGCAAACAGGCAAGTTCATGCTGGTATCAGCACATCATTGATGAGCTGTCCCATTTAACATGACAGTGATATTAGAACAACTGTGATTAAATTAATTGTTTAATTTTTTCTCAAAAATAAAAAAAATCCCACAGTCCACCATATTGGTTCAGTGTCTTTATTTAAACAGAAGGCAGTAAAAACATGTATCACACAGGGTCAACATTCTGAGCACTGTTACATATAAATTACATTTAATTAAACAATATCAGGTATACAAATACCTATGCAATATTAGCACTGAAATATAAACAACAGCACTAGTTAGATGTTACTTTCATTTCTTTAAAATGGAGAAAGAATGCACTGCCTGCCAAGAGCAACATATTGTTCTAAGGAAATATAAAGTACTGCTTGTTTGGGAAGATAGAGATGTATGCCTCTCAAAAAGGACCATACATTAACAGTGTTCCCTTCTACTTTTAGACAACAATATTGCCATTAACCCAGGGCAAACGTCTTCCCTTCCCTTGTGCTGTAAACAAGGAGAGCTAACCAGATAAATCTATTGTGTAACAAGCTAATGGCATCTCTAAGTCCCTGGAGACAAGATAATTACTTTAACCTATAACAGCTAAACTTTAAGTAATCATTAGATTGAGTAAAAGGGTGGGATGCCTCCAATGTCATATTCACTGCAAAATCAGTTGTAAAAACCCTATTATTGAGTAGACAGCAGGCATATTCTTTCAATAACAGACTAATATCAACGTAGTTAGCTAGCAAAATGGCTTCAACTTCGACGAAGAGTAAGGACTATTGAAACGTATCCACACTTTATATCCAATCACGTTAAAACTAGCAATTTAAAACGTACACTGAGCCGCTCCTTATTTTATCAAGGTGCTCAACATTTGTATTTATTTTCTAAATACGCAGCTATGTGGCCAGTCAAGTTGGCCAACAAGAACATCCCAGACTCCATCTTTCTCAACAAGAAGCATATCGTTGAACACCGCCATGTTGGGCGCTAGAGGAGTCCAACAATGCTAGCTTAGATAGCCTATATATTTGACCTCGGGGTAAAGTTATAACGCAATACAAACCCTATCTGCTGCTATAACGAACACTCTTGTACTATAGCATTAACACCAAGACAAAGGTAGACTAGCAGAACCGGCGATTTACTAAGCTAACGTAGCTATTGCTAGCAACTAGCTGGCCGTTTGGTCCCGCAGCGTTCTTTCCGAGGCTAAACCATCCGGGTCCTTTCGCTTACTTTTTTGCATCTTCTGAGCAAAACCCAACTTTCAAATACTATATTTATTCATATGAAAGCCTAGCAAGTTAACTATGTATAATAAGTGTCCATGGGTACGATACAAATACAGAAAGCTGGGATCATACCGTCGTTGTCGGCAAAGTAATCATACGTTGAGCTAACCTGGCTCTAATTGCTAAGAAAGCTACATTTGTTATTAAAACTGTCCTCAGCTGGCTAGTATATTAGTTGTAATGATCACAGTTTCGAGTGATTAAAGTTAGTTTCCAATTAAATAATGAGCGAAGTAATGTAATTTAGCGTTAACCGCCAAAAAGACAGTATATCAGACTGCTTTCGAAACGTGGCCTACGACAACGTTTATAATTTTAACAAATATATTGAAAATATAACAACAACTGAACAAAACAATTACATATATATTACACGCATAACATGTTCATATACAATTCGTGAAAAACTGCTGGAAAACAAATGTAGAATGAACACTTAAGGCTTCCCCCAGTCTTTCCTATAGGGCGTACGGAAAATCCATTCGACTTGCCGGACACCACTCGGAGGCGAGTCCGAGGCTTGAGACAAAGTCCCATAGATCCAAAATTGCACAGGACGGAAAACCCAAGAGTCGATGTGTTTCTAAAGTATGTCGAAAATAATCCACGATGCAATGTTTCGAGATGGAAATATCATGTATTTCGACCATTTCCCCATGTTTAATCAAAGGGTTTAACAGGCCTCAGCCCTGAGCCTCTTTTCTTAGAGCCCAGGCTGATCTACAGCGAGACGAACGGGAGAACAGAGATTTTTTTTAATTTTGCTCAGAGGGAAGAAATTCACATCGGCAACATTCGGCAACCATCGGAAGCAGGGCGGGTTTTGTTGAAATTATTCTAAGAAGGTTCATTTCTTCGTAGCCATTGGTCATCGCTTTTCAACTACTCAATATTAAAAAGACAACGGACGAATAGAAATGATTTAAGTTGAATATTCACATTTTGCATGCAAATTAGACATCGCACCGCCTACTCCGTTTTAATAAAGCCAATCGGGGTGAGTCTAGATTAAATCAACGCCCGCCTTTATTTGTGATTCGTTAAAAAAATAAACGTGCTCTGTAATTGGCTGTACGTGTGGCAACATTATTTATTCATGTGACTGCATTGAATGGCCAATGAGCGGTTTACTACAGAGATCCATGTCCCACCTACCAAAGAGTCAGCCCCTGTCTTTCTGCCTGTGCAACCCCGTAGTAGGCACTCACTCTATAAAACCAAACGTTGGAGCGCTTCATGTTCAGAAGCGCTAAGAGCGCTCCAGAGAGTAGACCTCAAAAGGGAAGGGAGCAGTCGGTAGCCATCTTACTTAGGAACAAAACACAAATATCTCGACTATAAAGGCAACCGACAACAGAGGTCCCTGGGATATCGCCTTCGGAGACTTTCCGGTCACCGTTGGCGGCCTGACCAGAGTCGTGGTGACAATTTAAAGACTGTTCCTGCTCACAAAGCGGCGTGCCGAGGAAGGACGCGTCTCTTTGAATAGACAGGATGCATGGACCGCCCTCCGGCGACAGCGCATGCCCATTGCGCACGATCAAGAGAGTTCAATTCGGCATCATCAGCCCAGATGAGCTTGTAGGTTTTCTTTTTGGGGGGAATGGGGTATTTTAATAATTTGTGTTTAGATCACACACCACTCTTACATTTGCTTCATTGATCTTGTAGTTAAACATATATGGCAAAGACATGGTTCTGTTTACGACGTGAAATGCTCGCTGTTAGCCTAGCTTAGCTAACTAGCTGTATCAGGCTGGTGGAGCTTGTGCTAACTAGCATGTTGCAGGAAGTTTGAAAACTTAAAGCACAACATTCTCAAAAAGTATACATGCTATCACATGAATTAAACCCCCTTTTAATGTATTCAATATACCTTGTAGGCCCATCAGTAAGTAGACATTTTGCTTACTTTAATGCTTTCCGATATATAGACATAGCTCGCTTGGTTTTACCACTGATACACCGCATTGTACTCGCTATAAACGAATAAAAGGGTACTTCAACAATTTTCGATATGCATGTTTTCTTTAACTTAAGATGAGGTGTTCTAGTTTTAGGCATTAATGTATACTAGATTAGGAATGCAAATGTAATTGAGCATACAATTTCATATAATGGTAACATTTTATGGTTACAGAATTTTATTTGTCGTTTTTTCTGTGAATTTAACATTTTAAACACTATGATGTTTAAAAACATATTTTGTACCTGATGTCGATTAATGCTTGATAAAAATAAATATTTATAACTGATGTATGTGCAGAGGTATTTTATTTTATTATAGGCAGTAGGTGATCAACTTCAGATTATTGTCAAATGTGTAGCATCAACTATGATGTGTTTGTCTGCAGAAACGGTTGTCCGTTACGGAGGGGGGTATCAAATACCCCGAAACAACAGAAGGAGGACGTCCTAAAATGGGTGGCCTTATGGACCCCAGACAAGGGGTCATAGACCGATCTGGGAGATGTCAGACATGTGCAGGTATAATATAATTTTAGCACTTCCTACCAAAATATATGATCAGGTCGCTGCTGTCCTTAACTGGTGTCATTAATCATAATAATATAAACATGCTTTTTGTTTCCTCAGGCAACATGACAGAATGCCCTGGCCACTTCGGACACATAGAACTGGCAAAGCCAGTCTTCCACGTCGGCTTCGTAACAAAGATTATGAAGATTCTTCGTTGTGTCTGCTTCTTTTGCTCTAAGCTTCTAGTGGATCCAGTAAGTACATTCAGTATTTATCTGTACATTATGATGATAATCTACCCATTTTAATCCAACAAAGTAAGATTTCAGTGTTGTTCATAGCTTTTCTTTTTGCTTTTATCTCCAGACCAATCCAAAGATCAAAGACATCCTTATAAAATCTAAAGGGCAGCACAGAAAACGTTTGACACATGTATACGAGCTGTGCAAGGGAAAAAACATCTGTGAAGGAGGAGAGGAGATGGACAACAAGTTTGGAATGGAACAGCAGGATGCTGAGGAGGACCTTACCAAGGACAAGGTATTTGGGTGGAATCTTGTTGTCATTGTTAATGGGCATTTTGTCTCAACATTTACGCCACTGTCCAAAATATTCTCGTTCTCACTTTATTTTCTCCAACCATGTGACTTACGCAGGGTCACGGTGGCTGTGGGCGTTACCAACCCCGCATCAAACGCACCGGCTTGGAGCTGTACGCCGAGTGGAAGCACGTTAACGAGGATTCACAGGAGAAGAAAATCCTGCTGAGTCCTGAACGTGTGCACGAGATCTTCAAGCGCATCTCCGATGAAGAAGACGTCATCTTGGGCTTGGACCCCAAGTTTGCCCGGCCAGAGTGGATGATTGTAACGGTGTTACCTGTGCCTCCCCTGGCTGTCAGGCCTGCTGTCGTCATGCAGGGCTCTGCTCGAAACCAGGTAAAGCAATAGGATCACAGACAGATTTTTTTTTCCCTGCATGTTTAAGTGATGTAAAAAATGTGATTAACAATTAATCATCCCTTAACTTGTGTTCTAAAGGATGACTTGACCCACAAGCTGGCGGATATTGTCAAAATCAACAACCAGCTGAGAAGAAACGAGCAGAGCGGCGCTGCGGCTCACGTCATCGCTGAGGATGTCAAACTGCTCCAGTTTCACGTAGCCACCATGATTGACAACGAGCTGCCAGGCCTGCCAAGGGTATGTATGCAATTCCTCCAGCCCTGTTTGACCATTTCTGTGTTTCCATGGTGCTTATTTTACTATCATGTTTTTCTTTCACAGGCAATGCAAAAGTCTGGCCGTCCTCTAAAATCCCTTAAACAGCGTCTAAAGGGGAAGGAGGGCCGAGTCCGAGGTAACCTCATGGGTAAGCGCGTGGACTTCTCCGCGCGTACCGTCATCACGCCAGACCCCAACCTGCATATCGACCAAGTAGGCGTGCCTCGATCCATCGCAGCCAACATGACCTTCCCAGAACTCGTCACACCCTTTAATATCGACAGGTACTGCCGTGTAGAAAGCAAACTCATGTCATGTGGGAGAACCTGTATTCCAAATTATGGAAAGTGATGTCATCTAATTCATTCCGATGTCTCTCTTAGATTACAAGAGCTGGTACGAAGAGGCAACAGCCAGTACCCAGGAGCCAAATACATCATCCGGGACAACGGAGACCGAATTGACCTTCGATTTCACCCCAAACCAAGTGACCTTCACCTGCAGATCGGCTACAAGGTAAGATTAAAATATACCTATAAACTACTGCATTTTTTTGTTAGATGAATTAAAAAATATCCTTTAAATCTTCTCACAGACTAAAACTGTTTGAATTTGTTTCTTATTCAGGTTGAAAGACACATGTGTGACGGCGACATCATCATCTTCAACAGACAGCCTACACTACATAAAATGTCCATGATGGGGCACAGGGTCCGAATCCTGCCGTGGTCAACGTTTCGCCTCAACCTCAGGTACCAAATAAAAACCACACATCCCTTGTCTTCCTTGAAATATACAGTAACCTTAATAATAATTGTTCTCCAGTTGTTTTATCATAGTGATTTTTGGTTTTAATTGGGTCTTTATACAAGTTCCTGTCACTGTTACATTATCCTTTTACTGAATTATGCTGTCGCTGCTCTTACATCCCATTCTCTCCTCCTCCCTCCAGTGTAACCACCCCATACAACGCTGACTTTGACGGAGATGAGATGAACCTCCACCTGCCTCAGTCCCTGGAGACGAGGGCTGAAATCCAGGAGCTGGCCATGGTGCCGCGTATGATCGTCACCCCCCAGTCCAACAGGCCCGTCATGGGTATCGTGCAGGACACCCTCACAGCCGTGCGCAAATTCACCAAGAGAGACGTTTTCTTAGAGAGGGTAAGGGGATTGTTACAAGATCACCAGCTGCGTCTTTCTCCGTCTTGAAAGAGGTTTAACACGCTGCGTTTCTCCACCACAGGGGGAGGTGATGAACCTCCTCATGTTCCTCTCCACCTGGGATGGAAAAGTGCCTCAGCCGGCCCTCCTGAAGCCCCGCCCTCTGTGGACCGGGAAGCAGATCTTCAGCCTAATCATTCCCGGACACATTAACGTGATCCGCACACACAGCACCCATCCCGACGAGGAGGACAGCGGCCCCTACAAGCACATCTCACCCGGGGACACCAAGGTACTTTCCCTGCATTATCATGTATCGGTGAAACGGGGGGAAATGGATGACAAGTGACCTCATGGTGAACTCTGTCACACACAGGTCATAGTGGAGAATGGGGAGCTGATCATGGGCATCCTGTGTAAGAAGTCCCTGGGAACCTCCGCCGGCTCCCTCGTCCACATCTCGTACCTGGAGATGGGCCACGACATCACCAGACTCTTCTACTCCAACATTCAGACTGTGGTCAACCACTGGCTGCTCATCGAGGGTACGTGAACACACCATTATTGCTGTATGACAACTGATTGTTTTAAGGAGTTTTTGCAACCAAACCTTCACATTTGTTTTCCCCTAATTGATGAGTATACTCTTGATATTCCCTCCAGGTGCTTCCATTGGTATTGGTGACTCCATTGCTGATGCCAAGACCTACCTCGACATCCAGAACACCATCAAGAAAGCCAAACAGGATGTGATAGAAGTAAGCACAACATTTCTAATTTAACCGGATTTTCAGCAGAAATTACCAACAGAAATGTTAATTATTTCCTTTGCCTTTTTGTCTGCCAGGTCATCGAGAAAGCCCACAACAACGAGCTGGAGCCGACCCCCGGTAACACTCTGAGG